TTTGCTGTGAGGAAGAAGAAATAGGAATAGATACAATATTCGTATCTATATATTTATCATATAAAAATGTTGAGATTGGATCAAGAAAAAAATGTTGAGATTGGATCAAAATCTTGTTCACGAGAAAGAGGTGATAGATACACAATTTTTGTATCTATATATGAACATAATTTAAGTTTAAGTTGACTATTTCCACATGCATCATATTTGAGTAAACGGGTCTCATTCGAAGCGGTTATAATCGGGGTCGATTAATAGCACGATAAATAAATAAAAACTGAGAAATATTTAATTAATATATATATTGTTTTAAAATAAAATATTAATAATAATAATTTCAATTAATTCGTAAACAACAGGTTTACGAATCGGTGGGTTTCGACTACTGATTTATCGGGCTCAATCTCATAAACTGCGAATATACATAACGCTCGAAAAAATAAAATATGACAACTCGTAAATCTTTTAAATTCACGAAACCGACATAATATATATATTTATTAGCGTACACTAATAAATACATCATCAAGTAATTATTTCTCTCTGGCAGTTTAATAAAATAATAATACTATTCGACTCGATATTAAACTTAATACAATTAACAATTTTGAGCACATAATCGAAATAGCATTATCGAGCTCGAATAATAATTTCGGAATAAAATAAAATAAAATAATAATAAAAATCTCCAATTAATCCTGAAACAAATGGGGCTCTACAGCTACCAAAGAACAACACTTACACTTTTCAAAGTTTCAAAAGAAGAAAGGTGGGGACCCAGACTGGGTATTACATCGAGTATAATATTGATATCATGTTCGAGGTATGTATACAGTTTAAGTTTATACGCTTGGGATGAGGAGGCATTCAGTTGTCTCAGAGTATATCCTAAGTTCTGATGGAGGCCGTTTGAGTTGCCTTGAGAAATATCCATCAGATTGTGCACAAGTATCCGATTAGATATCGGCCAGATTCAGTTTAAGTTACTGGAACAGATTTCCAGTCAAGATATATACCAAAGATCATGATATTATATTATTATTGCTGTTTACTTTAGTATGGGTGATTTCGGGGTACAAGAGGATCAGTACTCACCCCCATTGTGTTTTTCAGGTAACAGGGTCGGGCTGGAGGTGTGAGCTCAAGAAGTGGTGGTGGTGGTCGTGCACTTCTTTAAGTGGACATTTATTATGAACTTGATATGTCTGTATAATTATTCACGTTTTTAAGTATTGCCGCTACGCATATTGAGACTTGAACTTGCATTCTAATAAATTTCAGATTTCAAGTTTTTATCATTTCAGAAGTATGAATATGATATAGTTAAATGCAAGTTTAATTAAAATTTGTTTTCTTTATGTCTAAAGAAGTATTAGACAAAGTTTAAAGATAAACGGATTTCCAGAAAAGATGAGTTTGAGTAGCATCCCGAGTTAGTCGCAAAAGATTTCGAAAAAGTTATAAGTATTTTCGAAGTAAAAGTTGCGAAAAATTTACTCTGATGAGCGGGGTGTTACACACATGAATCCACTAGGGTGGGAAATCAAACGTTTTGACAGGAGGGCAGAGGTAGTAAAATTTGCTCTTCCAATTGTGGATCTTGGAGGCCGGTCGGGTAATAAAATTAGCGCCATGACGCGTTGATAGATAGAAGGAGGTGCCGAGAGGTTTCATCCAATGACAGTAAAAGCACAGCTCGGGGTCTAATTCGCCTAGTTTAGCTCGGCATACTATGATTAATCCCACTAGCATCTTAATGGCATTTGGCGCGAATTGGTTTATGGGCAAACGGTATAAATTGCTAAGTGTTATGAGATCATCCCGTAGGGGGAATTTCAACCCGGCTGCCGCCTGATCAAGGAAAAAGGTGTAATAGCCCGGCGGTGGATTGTCATGCGAGTTGTTGGCCCGCGGCACCTTCAGCTTCCAATCACAGGGAAGCTCGATTTCCTAAAATTTTTTTGCTATTTTATCGGTAGAGTAAGATGCTAAGGCGCTGGGGCGTATCAAAGTAACTGCAGGGATAACGCCTTTGGCTTTATCGATAGTTGAGGAGGAGGTAGCCTCACCCGTGGGAGCTGGCAAGGCTATGGTTACCGACGACTCACCTAGGGGTTCGGAATTAGAAGGAGAGAAGGTGTCGAAGTTAGACGGAGAAATGGAACGAGCTATTGTGGTGGAATGCGGCGTGATAAAAAGGGTATAAAAAAAAAGGAGAAGATATATATGCAGATGGGTGCAATATAAATTATAATAATAATAAAAAAATTTACACATCAGAAGAGAGACGAAGACAAATCAGAAGGAACAAAATTCAAGTATAGAGATGATGCTTACCCATGAGATGGTTGGAATAATTACAGATGGTTGGTCGGAACGCGTGAGACGTCAGAGTGTGGGCGTCGTTACCGAATTCTGATTTCTGGAAAATCGTAAGTGTGGTATTGAAGGTGAGGAATGTGAAAAGGGGGTTATCTTTGTATGTATATATATATATATATGTGTGTGTGTGTGTGTGTGTGTGTGTGTGTGTGTGTGTGTGTGTGTGGAGGTAAAAGATGGGGATTTGAAGGGTCACTAAAAGGGAAGGCTGAGATGGTAAAGAAGGGGAAAAGGCAGCTGATCGTGGTCGTTCATTTCGGACAGATTTGATGATGTGACAGGAGGCTTGGGCCGGAAGCTTTGGGAAAAATTGAACAGAGTGCCATATCTCAGCCATCCGTTTGTAGGGCATATCAACGGTGGGAGACGATTTATAGGGAACGGTCAATTGCCGAGCTCGCAGAAGAGGGCAATTTGACGAGCTCTTGGTCTGCGATATAACGAGCTTGTGGTTCGTTGGTGTGACGAGCTCGCGGTTTCTCGATGCGCCGAGCTCGTTGATTTTCGGTTTGGCGAACTCGCGATTTTGTTGATGTGATGAGCTCGCTGTTTGCGGTATGATGAGCCCGTGGTTCAGTGACATGTCGAGCTCGTAATTTTGGCAAGGTGACGAGATCGTGATTTGGCGAGGTGACGAGCTCATGATTTTGATATAGGCCGAGCTCATGGTTTATGATATTTGTGATGGGTTCCTCATGAGAGTGATGAGCTCGACAGGTAGCTACCCTGGGGTGCACTTGGGGTAATTGTAATATGATTAGGATGTGAAGATGGTGACGTGACGAGACAAAACGAGCTTCTCAGGGCTGTGGCGCGTCGAGCTCGGAGTGGCATGCCGAGCTCGCAGAAATGTCGAGCTCGCGGTGTTGTGACGAGCTCACGGTTTCGGCGATGCGACGAGCTCGCGGATTTTTGCTGAAGTGACGAGCTTGCGGTTTGCGATGTGATGAGCTCTCCCAGGTTGCGGTGTGACGAGCTGGATGACGTGATGGGCTAACAGATATTGAGAGGGTGTGACGAGCTGGGTCGTATGACGAGCTGAATGACGTGAACAAGCTCGCACAGGTGGTGATAAGCTCGGCGAGGTGATGTTACGACGAGCTCGCAAAAGCTACGATGCGATGGGCTCGCGATTTTGTAGTATGATGAGCTTGTGGTTTTGGGGTCTGATGAGCTCATGGTTTTGCGTTAGTGAAGTGACAAGCTCCCAGCATCTAAAGAGTGGCAAGCTCGGTAAGGGCCACGACGTAGTACACACAGAGGTGAGGATAAGACGGGCTCACTAAGGGGAGAATGACGAGCTCGTAGAGGCGGTGATGTGACGAGCTTACCGTAATTGTAACATGGCGTGTTCTTGTTATTTAGGGGAAGACTAGTTTCGGGCGTGGTGAGTTCATGGAGCTCGCGGAACGACGAGTTCATGGTGCTCATAGGATGACGGGTTCATGTTGTGAAACGAGGACAATACGAATTAAAGACGAGAAAGTAAACAACACAAGATTTACGTGGTTCGGCAATGTGCCTACGTCCACGGCGGAGGAGCGTTCTTTTATTATTCACGATAATACAAATACATCAATACACCATGTATTTATTTCATAACCCTACAAGGTATAAATTTATACCCCGCTCCACTCGGACGCTCCGCTCCCTCGCTAAGCTCGCTCCACTCGCAGGCATCAGCCTGCCTCCTTCCTTTGTCAATATATGAGTCATACCAATAGTTCACAAGGGAGATCGACGTCACAACAAGAGCGTGAAATCTTCCTCATTAGGTGGTGGTTATAGCTCGTTGGAAAACTACGCCGAACGCATCCATTATATGTGGAGAGGCTCATTTGCGATGCTCAAATTTCTTTATTTCTAGGACAAGTTTGTAGTGCTCNNNNGATGATGTAGCATAGCATCGCTGATATTGCATTAAAGGAAGTAGCTCGGCAAGTAGGCTGACCCGGTCGATTCGAAGTAAGCGCCAGAGCTCAGATGAGCTCGGCGTATTATGAATAAATGCGACCAAATGCAAGAACCTAGCGGGCTAGCTGAGCTAGTTGGTCAACCGTGGGAAGCTGAGCTTGTAGGCTGGGCAGGTGGCCGAGCTGATAAACGAAGCAGACTCTTGGGCGAACACACCTGAATGCTGGGAATGAGCTCGGCGGTACGAAGGGAGAGCTGAACGGGGGGTGGACGATGTTACAACAAAATGCCGTTGCGCGCATCGCGGGTATCCTCCCGGATTATAAAGAGATGGGGTCGAACGGGACTCTCTGGTCGTTGAATAAGATTTGCATTGCCAAGAGGCAAATAGAAGGGGGACTCTTGTTATTACTGGAGTCTTTAGGACGTTCGCATTCGAATATAAAAGGGGGTATTTCCTAACTTTTTACATAACACACAACATCTACGAAATACGCATTGTCTTCTATATCTGCTACCTCTTCTGAATTCTTGACTGACCCCCACCCCGGCGTGTTTTGCAGGTTGCCGGCGATCCAAGAAAGGCGAACCGATTCAGAAGAGGCGGTCCAGCGATTCAGAACAATTTGACGTATCAGAGGAAAAGCACATATTGTTCTAGCATTTCAAGCGCAAGACGACATTAAACTGCGGCGGAGGCGCACCCTCTGCCCGTTGCCGCACCTTTCGAGAAGCAGCTCGATGGGGTCGCCGCCAGTTGGTGGTTGCTAATTCATCAAACACCACATACACCTGGATGCCTCCATTGAAGAATAACCACCTAGGAAATGGATTGGCAATTTCCCTTATCATGGCCACGACCGCCACCATTGAAGCTTTTCGACCCTCAAATCTGGAGGAGAAACTGGTATGCGCGTGATCCCTTTTCTGTCACAAGGTGGGTTCGTTTTTCCGCAACTGGTTCATTGAGATTTTGATTTGTTTTGTTATTTTTTCTTGCTTGACTCATAAATTGCTGGAATTGTATGTCAGATTTAACAATTATTCCTTATTCCCCCTTTTTACCTTATTTGGTTACTGAATTGATTTCTTAAGTTGGCATCAGTTCATACTCCAAAGATTTGGATTGTCGATTTCGAACTCCCAACAACAAAAGAGAAAATCAGTTTTCTTCTTTTTTTCTTTTATAAATTTCATGGTCTTTTTTGTTATAATATATACTTTCTTGGGTTGAGATAAATTTGAGTAAGACCATTTTGTGATGTAGATATTTAAACACGTAGCCGTAAACATTAAAAGCTAAGAAAATAGGTTGTGTAGGTAATGTGTTCTTTAGATATGACTTGTACATGATTGTATAAATTGATATGAAAAGATGAAGAAATTGTATTTAAGATTTTTTTATTCCCAACATATGATATAGTTGATTTGGTCAAAAGTAGTTGCAGCCTTTTCATGGATTACAATCTTTGTAATTATAATTTTATATATATAATTTGCGAAAAAATCTCCACTGTTGGTTTTTCTTGGGATCGTGACACTGTGTATATATTTGACATGTGGATTACTCCACTGAAATTTGCAGAGGATGTTACAAGAGGAAATAGCAATGCTTTTGCAGAAAAAATAATGAAGTTATGCATTTAGTCTTCTGATGCTCTGTACTTATTTTCTCTAAAACTTATTCAATAAAGTTTTTTGATGATTTTTTATGACAGATTTGACAAAAAAGAAAAAAAAAACCATTGTTGATGATTTTGTTGTTAAAATACACTAAATGATAAGAATTGTATGTATGTTCTTTGGTTTTCCAACATGTGATGATATCATTTGATCAAGTAATGGTTGTAGTAAATGAAGTTTCTGGTGAATTTAGTGATCTTGGATGTGAAACTATGACTTCATGAAATGGTTATCACCTGTATAGTTGATCTATGTGTTATATAATTTTTTTTTAAAGTATATATATTCTGATTTGTTATTTGTGAACATTTGTTTCCATATTCTTGTTTGTATGAGAATGAAATTATGGCATAAAGATATTATTCGGTTTTTATGTCTTGAATAATGGTTGGTAGATTATTTTTGTATATATCATTTGTGTTTTCACTTTGTGTTTTATTATAGTTTCTGCTTTTAACCATTATTGTATATGTTCTAACTATTTGCGCTTAAGTTTCAGCTATGGTCATGTATAGGTTGGTTTCAACCTTTGTATAAGTGACTTTTTAATAATGAAAGAATGACACCAATACTGTACTATCTTTGTTGTCTTTGTGGTAATATATCAGACTTTAAAGCAAATAAAATGCTCTATTTATATTTCTTAATTAGTGATTGGA